CTGCCAAAGTATAATACTTTCTTAGCATAAATATTAATCATAATAACATTAATAAAGTAGAATAGTACAGTATCAAGTTTACTGAATCCATATACAGTAGAAGTCCAAAAATCCGGACTGCTTGGGGATTGGGTCGGTCCGGATTTTCGGGATTCTCAGGCAGTACTTTTAAACTTCAAATTTAAGGAGGAATAAAGAAGAGATGAACAGGTACATTTTGATAGTTTATTCATTAGCAATTATAGCATGCTTCATTTATCAAAACGAGCAGTTTTAATGAAAAAGCTGTGAATTCTAGAATTTTATTCTTTGCCTTTTTTATATCATAAATTGTAGACTTTCCAATGTCGTATGTTTCCATTAGAACAGTATTGCTCACACCACGTACTAGTTTCTTAATTATTTCAAGTTTGTCACTCAATTTCAACGTGTTCTTCTTTCTCTTCACACAACGAAGTTTATCTACTTTAGGAGCCATTATTATGGGCTTGTACAGTAATCTGTAAATGGAAAGAGTAGGACTCAAAATATTGTTATATTACAATACAATGGTATTCTATTCATACTGTGCTTGATATAATGCATTCACGGAAATGTAATATTTTTGCTAAAATGACGTACGTATTACAGGGAAAAGTGGGATCAAATCGTGACGAAAACAATGACTTTCGCTTTCTTTCGTTCAAAAGATGTTACCGTAATCGCTTTTCGAATGGTTTAGTTAAAAAACTGTTGTATTACAATAATATTCCCTCCTAATTGACTTGAATAAATACTTGAATGGAAATATACAATATTTTTGTTGAAACTACCCTCGTTTCAGTGTAAAGTGTCGTAATAATAAATGGTAAACAATTTGCCTTCGGCACTCGTGTTTCAGTTTATAGGACGTAGAGCGTTTTTACTGAAGGTTTTGTTGTTCCCTTACCCTCAAAAACGTGGATCGAACTATAAACGAGGAATATCATAAATTAACGACTTCTTGGTCAAAAAATCAGGGTCGACCGATAAACGAGGGGGGGTTATAGATGAGTATATACGGTATGTTGTCACAGTTTGATTGCTCGTTTTAAAGTGGCGACCACGTGGTCGCTTGTTGTCGCTGTGCAGCTGTGGCGCTCACGCATGCGCACATACACACAAAAGCCCACTAAAAAATAAAAATAAAAAATAATTAGTTTTCCAAAAGTCCGGATTCTCGGGTGGTCCGGATTTCTGGCATCCGGATTTTTGGACTTTTACTGTAGGAATATATTCGATTTACTTGAAACCATCGATGGTTAGGGTGACAGTGGCGTGTGGTGTAATGGTCAGCACGATCGCCCAGCAAGCGAGAGGATCCGGGTGCGATCCCTGAGCTGGGTGAAACTATGGGCAAGTTTCTTTATGCCTCTGTCTACTCAGCAGTAATTGGAAACCTGGATGTTAATCAATTTGCAGATCGTATTCAGGAGTTATGGTTAGCCAGCGCAGTTGGCGAGTTGTCCGGTCTTCTTGGACTATTCCTTGACATTAGATCATGCAACTCGTTAACATAGGGTGTGGTTATTGTGCTGGCAACAGCTTCTGCACCTTAAAAAATTCACGCCTATGTGGCCCGAGGGCCGGCCATCCTCATAATACGAGGGGCAACCATTATTATTATCAGTTATAAAGTTCTGCCTCTTATTTGGTGGTCAATTAGCCATACTTTTTTATCAATATACTGTACAATAGCACCTTCACATGATATAAATAATATAATAAAAAATTTAAATACTGTACAGGTATTTAATTTAAAACAAAATTCACAAATGCTCACTGAACTGGGCGGGTCTCTGACGTGACACCACCGACACACTATTAAAACCATGCTGTTCAGTATGGTTTTAATAGTGATGCTTCTGAAGCGGGTAGGATAGGCATTTTCTTGGCGGTCTTTTATGGCATTATTGTACCCCATTCAACAGAATGCGTGAGGAGAAAATAAAAGTAATACATTTGCACTAATAAATAAAAAAACAGAAGATATTACTTCATTGCCATCTGTCAATGTTTCACTAGCTACAGATGGGACACAGGAGACTGCAAACAGCTAAGATCTCCCACTCTGCTCCCCCTTCCCTGATCTGTGTGCTAATCCCACACTCGAAGAAATGTTTAATCCCCCTTTTATTTAATCTTATGATAATTATTATTATTACAGTGAACCCTCGCTTTATGCGGACAATTGAAGCCATGGAGGCCCGCGTAAAGCAAGAAACGCGCAAAGTGAACAACATAACAGATGGGATTAACTGAAATAGAGACCAGGCCGACCCCAAAACTCCACTTTTTCACGACACAATACGTACGTTTTAGTAAAAATAACATCTTAACTTTATGATGGTATGCACACACACATAATATAGAAGAGAACAATCAATAAGAGAACAATATACTGTAGGTTAGGTTAGAAAAAATCAAGGTTAGGTTTAACACTTATGTTAGTAGAAGAGATGGGTCGGCATACGGGAATGGAGGCTGGTTCCGAGGCAGAGGGTAAGCTACTGGCCCTCAGGTGAGTCATCATCACTGTCATCCACACTTACCAGTGCCTCCCTGACAAATCCCTCAAAGTCACCATCACTGTCTCTGTCACTATCACTGGCTTGGACTGGCTGTGGTGGGTTGCGGGCGAAGAACTCGGTAATGCTTTGTTGACGGCTAGTGTTGATGTTGTCGTGATACACCTTGATGTAGGGCTCCATAGTCTGCAACAGCTGGGTAGTGAAGACTTCATACCGGTTATCGTCTGGGTCGTCGGTAAGGAGGAGCTTCAGTTTCTTTACACACTCGATGGCACCCCTTACATTACTATGCGATAACTTGCGTTTTTCTTGGGATGACACACCACCTGCCTCTTCACTGACGTCATCATCATCTAACATCTCGTCGGCAGTCACATCAGGATCCCTTATCACCTCTATAATGTCGTTGTTGGTGGTCTCGGAGAAGCCTTTAGCTGTAACACTCTGCGCAGCTTCTCTGGCAAGGTCCACTGCTACTGCAACAGTCTGAACCTCACCAGTCACAGATTGACTCTGCCTCCCACCTAGAATACCTTGCAACACGTCTCCATGCGTGACGAACCGTTGCTACAGACAGCTGATCCCATGCCTCCACCAAGAAGTCCACAGCTTTCTTGACGTTGAATTTTCTCCAAAAGTGTTTCACAAGTACTTCTTGCTCTGCCAACTGTTGTTCCTTGTCCTCTTCGCTCTTGCTATCGGTGTCACCCAGGTTACGCAACTCATCCTTGGAGTTGGTATAGTCGTTCAGGAGCTTAAACTTCTTTGCAGAGAATGCAGCTTTCACACTGCAGATTAATTCTTGGTCCATGGGCTGTATTAATGACGTAGTGTTGGGAAGAAGGAAGACCACTTTTACGTTAGGGTGACGATCCAACAGTAGGGTCGAGTGTCCTGGTGCGTTGTCAAGCAGCAACAAAATCTTGAATGGAACATTCTGTTGTTCACAGAATTTCTTCATGTTGGGAACGAAACAGTCATCAAACCAGGAGAGGGACAGAGTAGAGAACATCCACACCTTACGTGCGGTCAGCCAGTGGACATTGAGCTTGGTCATGTCCATGCTCTTGTAGGCATGTGGCTTGCGTGCTGTGTGGATCACCGATAACTTGAGCTTACAGGTACTGGAGGCATTGGTGGTAAACAGGACAGTGATGCGTTCCTTCTGCAACTTCCGGCCCCGCCACTTGCTGGCAGTCTTGACAACGAAGGTCTTGGAAGGTAGCTTTTTCCAAAAAAGACCAGATTCGTCCATGTTAAACACCTGGTCGTCGGTGTACTGTCCTTCCTCCATAATCTCACGTAAAAACGGAGGAAAATCCCTAGCCGCAAAACGGTCAGCACTTGCTTCTTCACCACCAATGTTAATGTTGGTGATCTTGTTCCTCTTCTTAAACCTCTGCAACCACCTAGAGGAAGCATTGAAGGGTTTGGGCTCTGCAATTCCCATCTTACGTGACACTGCAGCATACAGTTCAGGTGCGTACTCCTTAACTGAGCGCGTGTCTACCGCCATGTTCCGTCTTGCCTGACAAATCAAGTAGCTCACAAGTAATTTCTCCGTTTTGAGAAGCGCCTGGTTGTGGCAATACTTGATCATAGAAGCAAGTGTAGACTTTGTGATGTTCATGTGCTCCTTTATCTTGGCTGCAACCTTCTTGATCGTCCGGATCGTAGATTCGTTAACACCATGCTGGCGTGCAAGATCAACCTGTCTTGTTCCTTTCTCCAACTCTTGGATGATCTTGTATTTAATTTCGTAGCTTAGGGAACGTCATATCTTCTTTGGCTTAGGGCGGCTGGGTCCAGGTAATGCAAGGTTTCTTTGTGGTGGTGGTGGTCTGGTGGAAGCCATTCTTATGGGACAATAGATACCGATATACACGGTGTAGCCGGGAGGGGTGTAACTGACGCGGGTAGGTCAACGGGCTTGAACGCTCCCGCGGTGGAACATGTCATATTACATTAAACCAATCACAGCTAGCGGGGGAGGGAGGTAAGGATGCTTGGCCCAATCACAGTCCGATACGTCATATGACGTCACCGATAACGCAACAAAAACATACACTGCGCAACCTACTCGCGCCGCTTACCCAACATGGCGGGAGAGATGGCAGGAGGTTTGAACCCAAAAATGGCGCGGCGCGAGATGACCGCCAGCCGCTCTCCACGTAAAAGAGTATACGCACCGCTTAAAGTGAGGACCCCGGGTCTAACAAGGTACCAAGTAAACATGGAAACGCGTAAAAGAAAACCGCGTAAAGCGGGGTAATACTATACAGTGAGTTCTGCTATAACGCGTGTTTTGATAACGCGAATTTGCTCTAACGCGATATATGAATTAGGAACGATATTTGTATAACGCGAACGCTTGTTTGCTATAACGCGATTTTTGCTTACTATTTCTCCAATTTTGTGGTACAGTGGGGTATGCTAACGAATCTAATTGGT